TAGATCCCTCGCATGTGCAGTTCACAGTAGGGTTTGCACTTCTATGAGAATCTAATGCCACCGTTGATCTGAGAGGAGGCAGAGCGCAGGTGGTCATGCTCGCTTTAGAGTGCTTGGGAGCTCCTGTATAAGGACAGTACCCTCCTCCAACCCAGGCTACCTGGAGGGAGAACTTCTGGAAATAGAAAGTTAGGAATAGGGAACGACAGCAACAGGCACCATTTATTGAATGCTTACTTTGGGTCAGGCACTGTGCTCAGTTTTCTACATGTAGCAACTCCGTTTCATCTTTCTGACTTCTGCTGGTTCTTGATAAGATGTTTCTAATTTAATTTTAGGACACTAGCCTCCACTGAGTGTTGATCCTAACAAGCTCCTCTCATTTAAACAATATACACTTGAATTCTTAAGCGTTTTGCAACGAGTGGGCTTAGTTGGCAGTTCATTTGGTCTGCAAAGCTATCTTCAACATGCCATGCTCCTACTATTTAAAGGGTCTTTGTGTGCTTTTTCCCTTTGCTTATCCACTAGTGGTTAAGAAACAACCAGTGCGTGTTCCTCCTTTATTTTGTCAGTTTTAGGAAATTTTATTTTTAAGGATGTGCTGCTTTATTTTTAACTTCTTGCTATTAAAAGCTTTTGATTTATTCTTGGACAGTGCAGTAAGTGTGGCTTCCTGCAGCTCCCATCTGACTTATGGCTTTCACTCGTAGCCACAGTGGAGGTGAGCTGGAAGGATTCTAGAAGAGACATTTCTGCCCTTGGGATTGACATGACCAGCAGGGTCCTGGGAGTTGCAGGTCAAGCCTTGCTACACTTCCATTCCCCACACTCTAAACAGTTGGAAAGGACACAAATAGGAAAGCATTTGGCTTCTTTCATCTCATGTGCATTAAAATTCCGCTTTCTCTAGACGTATATTAATCTTCTGTAGTGAGGCACAGAGGGGAGTGCTTTATTTCTCCAGCTTCCCAAGAGGGTTTGTGAGCTGGTTAGAGCCAAGTTCCCATTGGAGCAGAAGGCTCATCTCTGGACAGCATGCACAAAAATTGATCTTTCAGCTGTCACTTACAGAGTCTGGTCTCGGAATACGTTTGGGTGTGTACACACAAACATAGAAGCCTGGATCTTTTTTTTTTTTTTTGAGACAGGGTCTTGCTCTGTCACCCAGGCTTGATTGCAGTGGTATGATTCAGCTTACTGCAACTTCTGCCATGTGGACTCATATGATCCACCTCTGCCTCCCAAACTGCTGGGATTACAGTCATCAGCCACCACACCCAAAACCTAGATACTGGTTTTAGATTAGATATATGGAGAACAAAGCTCCCATGTACCCTCTTGGAGAGAAGATATTACCAGAATTACGATGAGGTCCCCAAGATCTCACAGGCTTTGCTGTGTGCTGGGGACAGCTCACCATCCTTCTAATTCTTGACTCTCAGCCTTAGGCCAAGGAGAATTATGTATCTTTTATAAAAGATATGTAAACTACTTGAGATAGTTTCAAGTGAAGCAATCGGCTGTTTGTGAAATAAAGAAAGTCTGTGAAATAAGAAGATTTGTGTTGCAGAGTTCTTTAGGGATATGGGCTGCGGCTGCCCAGGTGATGAGCTTGAAGAACCTGGGCCCGGCTAGCAGAGCGGAGAGGAGCTGGGAGAGACAGCTGCTTTTACGATTCTTTCATGTTCTAGCAGACGCCAGATGCGAGGCTTCTCCTTACAGGGAATGGTTATGTTTTGTTTATCATACATTTCTGGAGTTTTTGTTTAGTTTTTGTTAAATGCAAAGCTCTGTGCTGGACATTGTGAGAAACAGGAAGTTGAACGCCCATAAGGAGTTTAGAATAGAAGTAGAAGAAGTCAGTAGGTGCCCAAATGCTATTTGAGGTTTGAACAGAGAATGGGTAGAGGGGAGTGTCAAGGGTAGGCTAAGTTTGGAGTTACCTAACCTCAAAGTTCCAAACTGGGAGACTGGTGTTATAATTGGGAGCTATTGCTTTTACAGTCCTCTCCTAAGTGCCGTGTGTTCCCAGGACATTGGGAAGCAGGAAGAAATGGGTGGCGAAAGGCTTGGGCCAGATGGCTTCTAAGATCCTTCTAACACTTTTGATATCACGAATGATTCAAGATGGTTGTCTCTGAAGCAGGCTGAAAATCACCTCTCGTATCCTGCAAGTACCTCTAGGGGCTAAGTTTTGTGGATGCCACGGGTGCTCTTAGAAAGCAAGGAGAGAAAGAAAGAAGAGAGAGAAGAGAAAGGAAAAAGTGAAAAGAAGAACTTTATTTCAGTAGGAGGTTTCAGTCATCAGCCATGATTTGTAGAAAGTTTAGCCCGAGGAAGCATCGCTAAAAGCCACATTGAGTTGGGGTGTCTGTCTACGTACATGGGTGCTGACCAGACCTCTGACTTAAATTTCTGTGTTCATGGTGACAGTGGAACCCTTAAGAAATTATATGCAGCTGCGAATTCAAGGGGGCCAATTCGGAGGTGTTAGTTTCCTATCACTTCCGTTAAACACGGTCCCAGTTTGGTGTGGACAAAGAGATATTTTCTCAGTATTAGATACAGTGTTTTGCATAGGAAAGTTTCATGACCTCACTTCCAACTGTGCTGGGGCCTCTGGTTCCTTCTGGAGACTTTGAGGAGCTGCTGCTGGACTGGCTGCCCCCATGTCTTTTACAGTATATCAGCAGGCCACA